GAAGTTTTGGCTTGTTTTCATACCGGCCACACTGGGTCCTCCCTTTAACTCGAGAACACCGACGAAATCGTCTTGAGTGGTGCAGACAACGGTCACTCTGGGATCAGGAATGGAACAGCATTGTCTTTAGTGACGAGTCTCGATTTTGTTTAGGCATGCATGATGGTCGTGCCAGGGTTAGAAGGCGACGTGGTGAAAGGAGGAATCCACAGATTTTTGTTGAAAGACATGTTCATCACACTGTTGGAGTTATGGTTTGGGGTGCTATAGCTCATGGTTCCAGGTCACCTTTAATCTTCATCAGAGGTAACATGAACGCGCAGCGTTATATCCACGAAGTTCTAGAACCCCATCTTTTACCCTATCTTGACACCCTGGCAGATCCAACTTTCCAACAAGACAATGCCCGACCACATGTTGCAAGAGTCACAATAGACTTCTTTCAACATAATGATGTCACATTGTTACCATGGCCACCAAGATCTCCCGACTTATCCCCAATTGAGCACGTGTGGGATATGATGGGTAGGAGATTGCTCAATTTGCAACGTCCTCCTCAGACTCTAGAAGCACTTCGAGAGGAGTTGGTGGTTGCGTGGAATGAGATACCACAGGAGGACATTGACCACCTGATCAGAAGCATGCCTAGGCGCATTGGAGAATGCGTAGCACATCAGTGTGCATCCACACATTATTAAAGGTCAAAGGGCTTTAAAGCAGTGCAATCATTTTGAAATTTTTATCATTTACTTATTATGCTTCATTAAGTACTTATACAAAATTTTATTAAAATAAAACCATTTAAACTGGGTGGTCGGATTTATATGTCACTTAGTATAGTTGGATGGTGCCTATTCTTTCAAATTCTACTGCGCTTGCTTGTTATATTTTTTTTAAATTCCTTCATAAGTATAATCGCACTGTTTGTAATAGTAAAACCGTAACTGACAATGTATTTTCAAATGTTGATTCCGCATATATATCAACATCACTGACACAATTTTGTTATTCAGACCATCTTTTATTGACTGTCAGTTACGAAACAACTTGCAAAGGAAAATATATTACCACGGGTTAAGCCCCAGAAACATTTTTTAACGATCCAGGCAACCTTGAACATGTCAAACATTTATTTACGTTAGAAAAATTGAATTTTCTGAATTAAGAAATATCTAGAATGCGGCAAATAATAGGTCGATTTTCTAGCTGTTAAATTTGACAGCAGATTTGGACGTTTGTTAATGCATGGCACTCTCGAATTTACCAACATCAATATACTGAAAGTTATCATTACATGCCTGTTGAATAGTGTGGATTTGTCTGTATTTTGCAAGAAAATAGAATATAAAATACATTCCATCCAATTCCTCATCTTCCTTTACGTCATAATAGTATCATTTATTAATTTATGGGTTAACGAATTTCTTCAAAGCAATAAAAAACATTATGTTCTCTCCATCCTAAAACACAGATAATATGTGTAAGACGTGTCAATGCCTACATCTCCCTGATGCATAATGCAATTACTATGGACATAGACAAAAAATTATGACAAATGTTTCACATATAATGACTTTAAGTCCAAAAATCAAAAAAGCTGGTAAAGTTTATTGTTTGTCTATTTTTCTTTTTTGACTGGCGGGGATATCTATCTGTCACCCGCAGGGTTGCCAAGTCTAACGACGATCACGTCCCGTGGTGGAGGGTGCGAAATGAACCTTTTACATTTGCTGGTTTTGAATTTTTTTCGTGAAATTTTACTAGGTATCATGATTATAAGCTTCTTTGGTAGATTACTCGATCCGGAATGGGAAAGATCTCCTATTTATGAAAATATTTTTGGTATCATCTAACCGTTGCAATCCGTGCAAAAACACTGTGACATGATATATAGCATAACCCGCTGCCCTACAATACAAATTTAACATACAGGTCGCCTAGCCGTGGGGATGCAGTGGTCGGGATGAATATCACTGTAGCAACTGATGATTTGGGCATGTCTGGTAACAACGTATGAAGTAAAACTCGCTAACTTCACAAATTTGAAGATTTTGTACAATTTCTTTGAAAATGAAAGATATGTTTGATTTGGCAGGGTAATGTCGCAGCCAAATGGCAGTCTTTTTCTGACACAGTCCGGATCGAAAGATGACGATACTCGTGAAATGTATTGATAGTTCTAAATATATGATCGTATCGAACATTCCTACTGCGAAGATGTATAACCCAAGGTACCGACGGAGATATATTGCGGCGTCATGGAAATAACCTTAAATTTTCATTTGCATTTTTTCAAGTGTTGTGCAATGATTTTGGGAAAAATGTCACGAATAGTCTTATAAAGCATAGTAGGGTATATTTCAACAGCTGGCGGAACTTACTCCACTGGGACCAGAAGGGTGAAACGGGATATTAATGCACAATCTGGCAACCCTGTCGCACCCTCACAAAATGGCCGCTGATAACCACACAAGTCACCGTGTCATTGAATAGCATGGAATTAAACCTTCAGAGTATATGTTTTGTGACTGGTACCAAGAGTTGACAGATCCCACACATGTGTCACTCCTTGAAATGCAATAATCAGCTGTATTCAAATAATGTCTAATATAAATATAACCTAGAATGTGAACTCGTGAAAAAATAATAATATGGCAAATTTGTAGTTTTTTTGCAGGTTTTAGGTGTGCTGGTAGCTTAAAGGCAAATATTTGGGAATTTCTTAATCGCTGTGAATATAGTGTGGATGTTTGTTTAGTTCCAGCCACAATGGTTCTGATTAACGGCAAGTAAATGAATGAATGGAAACGAGCAATATCTTTTGGTAGAGCCTGTCATCAAGTAGGTGCTTAATGGCTCTCTGCAAGAGATTTATAGGCAGAAACACCCAGTATCACATATCAATTGAAGAAAATAATATAAACATGAATGAAAAATCAACAATAGTAATTATAACATGAATTTAATTCAAAAATCAAACATTTCTTAAAATTTTGACTGAATTATATGTAATTTCTTAATATTCAATAAGCTGGTGATGTTTCAATGACAAGTTGTCATCTCATACTTTGACAGTATTTTGTTTTCAACATTTCATAGATATTGGTTGCGAAAATTTGTTGATTGGAACTTGAAGCTCATTCGCTGTATCTGACGGTCTGTTACCCTATGGGTGGAGAATAACGGACTGTTGTTGGTGAAATTGGCCCGTACTCGTAAAACGGAGGTTATGCTATACGGTACGACAGAACAGGATTAGTCTTTCAGTAAAATGTAATGGACATATTCTGCCTCAAAGTAGCTCAGTTAGGTACTTGGGAGTTCACCTTGATGAACATCTTTCATGATCCAATCATGTAGATTTGGTTTCTAACAAACTGACTGCATACTTAAGTGCATATGTCATCTAATCTATTTAAAAGCAATATACCTCACACAAAAATAACGGAGTATAAAATGATCATGTCATACGCGTTTCGTAATGAAACTCCAATCCTACCACAACACACAAAACCAAAACAATCAACGATACCGGTGGACCAAAGTCCCGTAACGACTAAAGTTTTGGACTTTTGATTGGAATGGAATCAGCGCATTTCGCAGTTGAGGTAGATCATGGTAGAACTTTGGACACCTTGCGACACTTACACGTAAAAATTATTGTAGACAGATCGTTGCATCGTTGAAACCAGTGTCGTGCATTGAAGTTAGGGATTTTATTTAGTTTCTTATTTATTTCATTTTATCAACCACAAAGACATATGACATGTATATCGCAGCCAATGTAAACAGGCAGTATCTCTAAACAATAGTATCTCTCACTAAAATAACATACAATACAATTCTAAAACATGCATGTAAAGTTATGAGAGAGAATGAGGGTAAAAACAAAAACGTATTCTACCGGTAAGCCGTCATGAACTGCATGCTATAAAAAACAATTTGAGGAGGGTAACAGCTTTAATTCTTTTTTGAAAGTAGTACAGCAATATATTTTACGTGTATTAGATGGCTTTTTGTTGAAAAATGACACACAGTGATAGTCTGGCGATTTTTGAAAGAATGCAGTGGAATGGCTTTGTACAGACTACCGGTTATTGTTTCTTGTATTGTAGCTGTGATATTCTCTAAGGGTTTGAAATAAGTTTTGATACAGGTTCACAAAAGTGAGAATATTGACACAAATAACCATCAGTACTTTGTTGGCTTTGAATAAGTTGCGGTAACGATTTTTGAGACTGAAAATTAATCTTAAGGTTCTGGTTTTTCTGAAATAGACCAAAATGAATCCTTGATGGATTACCTGCGTTTGGTCGCAGTTTTTAGTAACGTCGGAAATTTTTGCATGTTGAAAGTATTGTGTTAACACTTATTACTGTGGAATTTGGAAGAAATTGAAAATTATGTTTCTGAGAAAATCAATATAACAATCACATTTGCTCTTGAAACTTGATATTTCATTCTATTAGTTTAGCTTTCCTCAGTACCAGATCATAAGGTTATTTTAAAAATTTGAATATGATCCACCATTACATCTTTATGATATTTAGCTTAAAAATTACATCCGTGGTTTTCGTACAATTGGTTGTCCCATATTGCGAGAAATTTAATTCGCCCAGAGGCGGATGCGGTTCGGACCCCGCTATCAAAATATCCGAGACTAGACAAAATCTGCCCCCCGCCCGATCTGTAATTTTGAATCGCCGATCCACCCTCCGATCTTCAATTCTCAATTGCCAGTATCCCGTCGCTGGGACGGATATCTTCCTGAACATGAATTCTAAGCACCCCCGCCCCCTGATTGCATGTCGGAACAAAAAACAATTATAGTATTCAGAAAACTGACGTATGAAAATTGTACAATGGTTAAACGCAACTGCAGAATTGGAAGTTGATCATCTAATGAGTGTTTGAGATATATAACAATAAATCAAGTGTACCCCTCTGTGGAAGTCAAAAGTTTGTACCAAACGAGCCGCATTTGTCATCAGAAAGTGAATTCATTGTTTACCGCGTAAGTAGAGAAAATGTAAAATTTTCGAATAATGTCTGATGTCTTCATGATGAAGATGCAAGTTCCCCACTTTCTCCAGACTGATGGAAGTGAGTGGCTTGATCGAAAAAATAAGAAAAAATAAGATCATAAAGAATAGTGCAGTCTCAAAGGTAGCGATACTCAAATACATGAATTCTTAAAAATGGCAATAACTCAAAAACCGTGCACAATCGGATAAGGTCATATATGGTTTTTCTGATAGGAAGCCATATGAAGCCGCCCATGAAGACAATATTGATTATAATAACCAAGTATAATACAATGTGATATTGCTATATGTAAACAAATGTATCGCGAGTGCTTTTTCTTGTTACCAAATATTAACTTTGTGTGGCGCCAAGATTCCAATTTGTTCACTTTATGTCATTTTCGCCCATTAGAAAGTCTGGCGAAAGCTTTGGGAGCTTTGAAAAGTACAAGTTTTAGAAAATCAATGCCCCACATCGAAATTTGTTGGGAAAGGGGGTCCTACACTATTTATTGTATATATGAATGGATTGTAATCTCGGAAACGGTTGGAACGATTTGGATAAGACAACTGATATTATAAGGTAATAACGAAACAGTTTCAGATCGTTCTCAATGATGTTGTTTTTATGTGCTTTTAAAACATTTCGGCAGTTTTAAGGTACAAAAAATTGAGGACGTCCTAATCTTAGAAAATCCTAAAAATTGCCTTCGCCATTTCATATCACTTCGATTTGATGTAACAATGCTTCAGTAGTACCGTGTCAATCTACTAGATACTATTTTTTCGAAAGCTTATTTTTTAAATAATCCACAGTTGAAGACGGTTATGGTGTTTTTAGATTTGCTATATCTGTATGTCCGATACTCGTTTTCATGAAAGTCAACTTTAATTTCGAATAGTGTCTTCCGGCTGCTGCAGTTGTAACCTGGAGAGTCAAAAATGCACCGCTACATAGGAAAATGTGTGCCTTGGCGACGTCTGATTGTGAATAACATTTTTTTACATGCGTTGAGGTTAGAACTTCCATATGATAGACACAACTGATACGGCAAAAAAACAAAAAACAAAACGCTGGATCTACAATAATATGTCTCACGAATACTTATGTATCATAGTAGAATATAGATTTTTTGTATTGACAAGGTTGGGGCTATTTGGCAGTTGAAACAGATATAAATATATGTAATATGTCATTATGAAAAATATATTAGTGAATTATGCAATACATATAATAAATACAAATAAATCATCAAGACAGCGTGGCAGGCTGGTGGCCAAAGCAGCACGTTTATAAATTGTTTTATGATTTTGTATTGTTCTAACTCCAGAATTTTGACACTTGCTGTTATTATTCAGTTCTCTTTTCAAAAGCTATTGATCTCATCGTAGTTTATAATTCTGGTAGTGGATGTGCAAATTTGATATGTAAAAATGTATCTCTATGTAATGGATGATTTATATAATACCTATATAATGCTTATCAGAAGGTCCTCCCTTTACTTGTTGTTTGAACGGTCTAGTTAACATTCTTAAATTCTGGGTGATGACACTGATGTAAGCGTGACAGTTGACTTCTTGAAGACGGCGCCTATGTTGGAACATTTTGTTAAATAGAGTTGGAGTGGTGAGATATCTAATTTTGAAGCTCCCTATGTGTACTTTATAATCCTATAGTATAAATTTACCATCTCACAAAATGACGGGTTGTCATCTTTAGCGTTTTCAAACATTAAATACAAAAACCAACTATCAAATCTCTATAGTGTATTATATCAATTTTCGTCTCTAGAGAATGTTTATCTGAATGTGTAATATAATACGGAATATTTTGTTCGAAAAAATTGACGTTCTTTAAAATAGTGAATGTTCTATATTCTATTCCATATTAGATCGATCGTTGAAGAGAAGAAGACAGATATAACATACTAAAGCGTTTTGAGGGGTTTGCTGAGTTGTGAGAGTTTCAATATACAAAAATGCTCAAAGTTGACAACTGCTAGTCAGCCAATTTTGGGAGTTAGGGATTTAATATTCCACTCATGCGTTGTACTCATAAAGAGCTTTTAAGTGATGTATCACATGACCGCCACGTTCCATTAAAAGATAACACCCAACCGCTATTTCAAAATTTGCAGTTGGCACTTTTACGCGAAACTCAAGATTCATATATCAATTTCATGATATTCAATCTCAGAATCAAACATGCTACAAGACGGCTCGCATTTGCCATTTTGAAATTTTTAACTACCACGATAATACCTACATATTACTCAGGAAATATATTTCATTCCTGTTACATTGCTTCCTTTTAGACTTGAATCGTTCAAAGAAAACTGCGAGGGGGTCGTTTTTTAAAAAAACATTATGAATATTTGTTGTAATTAACATTTCCTTGAGTGCACTGAAATTTTTAAGAATGCAGTGCTATCCAATACTACATAATATTGCTGGCTCAAATTCTGTGCACTTCAGAATGCCTAATATTATTTTGTCAAACATTGTGTCCAGTTTTTAATAATGCCATTCAGTCTTACCAAACGGAGGTGGGTTCCTCATATCCTTATTTTTAAATCGTAGACGAAAATAACGGGATTTTGCAATTTTTTCGATGCTCGAAAACAAATTTAAAAATGTGATAAAAATAAACATGACGTTTCCTTGGGTAGAACGTTATTGAATGCAGCATTTTTGGAGTTGTTGTCACGCAGCAATGCAAAAAATTTTAAAACATTTGGAAAACTCAGGTGTTATTGATTGTGACAACACACACAAAAGTGTCTATGGATATAACGTGAAAAATAGGTATAGCAAAGATGTTTTTTCCAAAAGGAGGAACTTACAGAATGGGTAATGATGAGGCTATTTTAGTAGGTTATCAGATAGATTAGAAAAGCTAACAGTTGGCTGTTTCCAAACCCTCTATCCACATTTCTTAGGTAATCCAAGGATAACCATAAACTATAGTAACGCATATTGTACATTTTTAGGCAAATAATGAAAGAAAGTGCACTGCACAGAATCGCTTGTACCATTGGGCTTGCATTCTTTACTCTCAATGATTGCCAAATGTAAGTAGTATATCTATCTACCTCGCATCAAATGTTACTTGTTTCTCCACGATTATTATTTGAAGATATTTGGAGCTGACCCTTTAATTATACCTACATATCTTATTAAGTTGCAAGATTTTAGGCTTACTTTAATTATTAAATTTGTTTACTAAATACATATATCGAATTGTTCAAATATATCGACATTAACAATGCCCTAATTACGTTCCTTTACACAGATGTTACCCCTGTTGCCGAATCGCATTCTAATTCACTGATTCCTATTAACACCCAGCTAGCAAAGGTTAAGAGATTAATGAAAATCATTATTCACGGCTTACGCACTGATATATCAGACGGTTGTTGTAATGACTTTACTCATATTTAAAGGAAAATTGTATGTAAACTGAAAATGAGAGCTATACGGATATATGGATGAAATTGATGATACAACTAACATAATGTGAGCGCTCAGATTTTCAAACAGCTTTGCAAATCCAAATTTTTTCAGCGCAGAAGCAATAGATTCTGAAAACTGCTTAACCGAACCGACATCAAAAAATGCTAGTGCGATCCCCACTTTAGATACAGGAATGCTCAATAATTGTTCAAGAAAGAAAATTAACAGGAATTCGAAGGCAAAACTGTCAATTGGGCTGTAACTTTTTGGAGTTGTATCCGCTAAATAACGAATATGCTCTTGATCGTAAATATTTAGGATTCAAAAACGGTTGGTAGATATTCCGACAAACATTTTATCCCAAAAAACCATTCTGCAAATATCCACAATTTTTTAATGCGGGTAATTAAGCTTATGTGAAATAAGTATAAGAAACGTGGATCAGCAAGGCTTCCAACCTCAGTAGGTAATTACATATACGTACTTATTAGTAGATATATCAAACATCAGAGATTCTCTCGTACATTTGTTCTTAAAACTTAAAACATATTTTCAGCAGATGTATTGCGTATCGATCGCATTTGACGTGCGCTACGGGGTTGTAAATATTGCATTTTTGTTATCAATGAAAGACGTTCTGTTATCAAGAAGCTTCCGATACCGATAATATTACGCATCTATTGGATATAATAATCGTACTCATTTATGCATGTGGATTTCCAGCGGACTAGACACAAAATATTAAGCGTGCCGCGATAGACACATAAAAGCAGGAAGCAAGCGCTAACGCGATAATGCATATACGAGGTCGGCGCGTATTACCTTTATATACAGGGAAAACTAAATTTGTCTACAAAACGTTAGGTTACTGTCAAACCCAACGAGCAGGTCTGAACGAGATTTGAATTAATATTTTGTTTTCAAGGAGTGTAATTTAATGAGGCAACTTGATTTCGTGGGGTGTTCACGGTATACACGATGTCCTTAAAGTGAAACACCGAACGAGCAGGAATAAGAGGGGGGAGGGGCATTTCCAATCAGGAAGACCATATATACCTTACTAGATTGCGCACTGTTTTCCAGTTATCGACATTTTGAAGAATTTGTAGACAATCGCAACTACTAAAACTGTAACTTTTTTCTGAAATAATCTCCTCTATTAATCTTACAGGATCTTTGAGAAAAACACTAAAAACTAGTCCAGTTGTTGTAGGACCGTCAATCGGCTTGAACGTAATTTTGCTTGCTTATTATAAATATTACAGTATATTCAAGTAAGCATGTAGAAAAACTTAGTGGGCACATACACTATCCATAGTTTCGGATAATATGGTCTTCCAAAACGCTTCCTAGGTAGTCAAATATCTTAAACTGCTTCTGCGCAAAACTATTTAGGATAATTGGTTATCCTCAAAGCTATTTTGGAAGTACATAGTGTCCGGAAGTTTTCCAATAATTGAGGATACTGTATCTGCCCACTCATTTTTTGTGCAGTAATGTACTGTCATATTTTTGACCACAGACAAAACTGCGGCTTAGTCGATTACTATCGGCACCTACATTACCTAGATT